TTGGGGGGGGGGGGGGTGGATCTGGACAGTGGTGCGCAGGAAAAAGAGGCTTAAGCCCCCCCCCCCCCCCCCCCGTTTTTCCCCCTGACCTGGAAAAGCCACATGGAGTCACTACTTGCTTGCTGCAGAAACTGACAGGTACCGGTGGGTGGCTGCACTTTAGTTTCTCTAACAGACCAAATAACCCCTCCCCAAGGCCACTTCAGACTGAAAACATTCCTTAGGACCAAATAACCCCTCTGTCCTCATGTGCCATGGCTCCTGTCCGGATCAGGCCTTGTTGTGCCTGGAAAATGAATTCCAAGCAAAGGACTCCTCAGACATGTCTAATCAAAACATGACTGGCAGCCAGGAGTGGTTTAGTGGTTCTGAAAGGTGTCCCTTTAATGGGTGGGTTGGCGAGGCTGTGGGCAGGTCCAGACTGTGTTCTGTCACTTGAATCATAGAATGTTAGAGTTGGAAGGGACCTTGCAGGTCATCTAGTCCAACCCCCTGCACTCTGCAGGAGTATACTGAAAGATAGCCCTACATACCTACACCATACCCAAAGGATGGTCATCCATCCTCCGCTTGAAAACGTCCAGCGAAGGAGCATTCACCACCTCTCGAGGCAGACTGTTCCACTGCTCAACCACTCTTACAGTTAGGAAGTTTCTCCTGATATTTAGCTGGTAACGACTCCCTTGTAATTTCCAGCCATTAGATCTAGTCTTGCAATCCGGAGCAAGAGAGAATAGATCTGCTCCATCTTCTACTTGAAGACTGCAATCATGTCCCCTCTAAGCCTTCTCTTTCCCAGGCTAAACATACCCAATTCTTTCAGCCTTTCCTCATAAGACTTGGATTCCAACCCTCTCACCATCCTGGTTGCCCTCTTCTGGACACGCTCGAGCTTGTCAACATCCTTCCTAAAATGTAGTGCCCAAAACTGGACACAGTACTCCAGGTAAGGCCTGACCATAGCAGAATACAGTGGAACTACCACCTCCCGTGATCTGGACACAATGCTTCTGTTAATGCATCCTAAGATTGCATTAGCTTTCTTCACAGCCACATCGCACTGCAGGCTCATGTTTAGCTTGTGATCAACCAGAACACCTAGATCCCTTTCACACGTGCCGCTGTCAAGCCAAGTCCCTTCTAGATAATGTAACCGTTAGCTTGCAGGTGTTAGGGGCAGTTACAAGGGCAGGGGCACATGTGTGGTGGGCTGAATGCAAGCAATGCTTGGTTGCTTGGCATCTGTGGAATTTCTTGCTTTTAGTATATTGGCAGAACTGGTGTCTGGGCTCCAGTTCCGACACAGAAGCTGTCTATGCTTGGAACCTTTCTACCTCTGAATAAACAAATCTTGCTGCTACAAGAGTGTTTGTGAGAGTGATTGCATCCAGGACTTGACACCTATCTCTTCCCAACAAAAGTAGAACAGAGGGAGGGAAGCTTCTGCAGCAGGCTCTAAATCTAAAGCAATAAATTATCCGAAGGGTCAGAACCCCATTACATGCAGAAAATAAAAAGCTGCAGTGGCAGCTTTAATCAGTTGAGGGAGAAAAAGACCACACTGTGGGTGTAGCTGCTGGGACAGTCAAAAGTAAAGCTGATAAAAGGAAAAGAGAGAGTTCTTCTCTCCCCCCCCTTTACCATAGGGAGGGGGAAAGAGTAAGAACATAAGAAAAGAGATATTTAAAACGAAAGCTAAATTCAATTAAAAACAACTAAAACAATGCTCCTCTGAATCGGAGCACAGCCTACAAACACCTAATCACGCTCAGCCAGAAACCGGAAGTCGAGTTCTTCATTTCATGTTTACAAGTGGCACAAATTCTACAGTGGGGAGCTGAAGATTCATTGTGAACAAAAGGCCCTAATACAATAATGTTTATTTTAATATTTTAGGTGCACTGCAATGATGCCACACTTCAGCAGGGGCAGGATGGTGGGGCCAGCTGAACTGAGTGATCCATGGGTTATGCGTCCCTGGAAAAAGAGGCTGTGGCAGCCAGCAGGACGGAGTCAATAGAAGTAAGAGGTTTTATTACCCCAGTGCTTGCTTCCATTTGTCAGCCCTGTTAAAATCAAGGAAGGGCTGCAAACCGGAAAATCTAGTAGGCCCTCTCTGCTCCCTAATGCTGTGCAATTAGGGCTCCAGTGCTTCCTGCCACGTCTCTTGCTGAAGTGAAAGGCATATCACACACTCCCTTCAGAGCTCCGACAGGCCCTCAGGCCGTGCTACGCTTCAGAGGGGGAGAAGGGGGGGGGGACTCCTGTGACATGCCTTCCATTTAACTGAAGCACAGCCTGCAAAGCTTTACACTCTCTCATATTTTTGGAAGCATTTTCATCCCCGAGAAAGAAGGCTGCTTGTTGCGTACAGAAAGCCTAACACTAGCACAACCACTCCCTTTCCCTAGAGCCAGGAGGAGCGAATGCTGCAGCCAGGGCCAATCCTACGCCTCCCGCCCTGCAAGAGTTAAGTAAGGCTTGGAAGGACCGCTCTGGCAAGGATGGCTCAGGCTGGGGGAGAGGGACAAAGGTCACATCTCTGACTTCCTTCTCCCTGCAAGTTCTATGAGTCCGCAGTTAAAATGCCAACAACAAATGGAAGGCTGCCATCCTGCCTACCCCGCTGCCCTTAAAAAGTCTGCTTCTGTGAGGAAGTGGCTATGATCTGCAACGGAAGTACCAGCCAGGGCACACAATTCACTCAGATGCGAACCTCTTAACGACAGGTATTTTAAGACGTATAGAGAGGTTCTACACAGTTAACGTACAGAGAGGGTCTACACAGACCATGCGACGGTCACCTCGAGACTAGACTACTGTAACGCTCTCTACATGGGGCTGCCCTTGTCACAAATTCGGAGGCTGCAGGTAGGGCAAAACACCGCGGTCAGGCTGCTGATGGGCCTGCCTAGATGGGAGCACATCCAGCCTGTGCTGAAGGCTCTGCACTGGCTGCCAATAAAGATTTATGCGATCTGAAGAGAAACCCTGCCAATAACATACCGAATCCATTTCAAGGTGCTGGTGCTTACCTTCAAAAAGCCCTATATGGCCAGGGTCTGACATACCAGAGGGACCGCCTTTCCCCACATATACCCCAGAGAGCACTGAAGTCAGGGTCACAGAACCGGTTGACCCTCCCGGGTCCCAAGGAGACCAGGCTTGCCGTGACGAGGGCCAGGGCTTTCTCGGTGGTGGCTCCTTACTGGTGGAACGAGCGCCCAGAGGAGATCAGGGCCCTGCGGGATCTACTGCAGTTCTGCAGGGCCTGCAAGATGAAGCTCTTCCACCAGGCCTTCAATTAGGAACCACCCCACCAGAAGAAGAAGAGTTTAGATTTATACCCCGCCCTTCACTTGGAGTTTCAGAGCGGCTTACAAACTCCTTTCCCTTCCCCTCCCCACAACAGACGCCCGGCCCTCTATCTGGCTCACTCCTTCGAGTGACTTAGGACGACATTGAGCTGGATCTCAGCAGCTGTAGACATCTTAATAAGCAATCTTAATAGGCAAGTAATGAACTGTACAACTAACAGCACCGATTGGTTTTTATGTTTTTATCTGCATTGTATTGTTGTATATTGTTCTATTGGTTTAACCGGCAATTGGTGCCATCGCTGTAAGCCGCCCTGAGCCCGCTTGCAGGGAGGGCGGGGTATAAATTTAAATAATAATAATAAAATAATAATACATTAAACACCACATTAAAGTATTTACATACTGAAAACTCTGGAATGGTAACCTGTGCTGCTGTGCTTGCCTTGGTCTCAGTATGCTTGTGTGACTGTGGAGAAGGGCACGCTTGTGCCCAGTTTTTCCTCAAATGCTGCCATTAAAGCAAGAGCCCTTTCTTCTCCCGGAAAGTGCTGGAGAACACTTGGAGGGAAGTCCCACACAGTGAGAGTGGGAAGAGATACAAAGATGGTGAAGGGTGTATGTGGGAAATGGG